GGGAACTACAGGCCTGTCAGCCTGACCTCAGTGCTGGGGAAGGTTATGCAACAGATCATCCTGAGTGCCATCACATGGCACACACAGGACAACCAGGTGATCAGGCCCAGTCAGCATGGTTTTATGAAAGGCAGATCCTGCTTGACTAACCTGATCTCCTTCTATGAGAAGGAGATCCACCTAGTGGATGAGGGAAAGGCTGTCGATGTTGTCTACCTGGACGTTAGCAATGCCTTCGAAACTGTTTTCCACAGCATCCTCCTGGAGAAACTGGCTGCTCATGGCTTGGTTGGATGTACACTTCGCTGGGTAAAAAACTGGCTGGATGGCTGTGCCCAAAGAGTACTGGTGAATGGAGTTACATCCAGCTGGACGCTGGTCACGAATGGTGTTCCCCAGGGCTCAGTATTGGGGCCAGTTCTGATTAATATCTTTATCAATGACCTGGACAAGGTGATCGAGCGCACACTCAGAAAGCTTGCAGATCACACCAAGCTGGGTGGGAGTTTTGATCTGCTTGAGGGTACACAGGCTCTACAGAGGGGTCTGGATAGGTTGGATTGACGGGTCGAGGCCAACTGTGTGAGATTCAACAATGCTAAATGCCAGTTCCTGCACTTGGGTCACAACAACCCCATGCAACGCTACAGGCTTGGGGGAGAGTGGCTGGAAAGCTGCCTGGAAGAAAAAGACCCGGGAGTGTTGGTCGATAGTCAGCTGAGTATGAGCCGGTTGTGTGCCCAGATGGCCAAGAAGGCCAACGGCATCCTGGCTTGTATCAGGAACAGTGTGGCCAGCAGGAGTGGGGAAGTGATTGTCCCCCTGTACTTGGCACTGGTGAGGCAGCACCTTGAATACAGTGTTCAGTTTTGGTCCCCTCACTACAAGAAGGATATTGAGGTGCTGAAGCATATCCGAAGAAGAGCAATGAGGTTGGTGAAGGGGCTAGAACACAAGTCTTATGAGGAGCAGCTGAGGGAACTGGGGTTGTTTAGCCCGGAGAAGAGGAGGCTGAGAGAAGACCTTATTGCTCTCTACAGCTACCTGAAAGGAGGTTGTAGTGAGGTGGGTGTTGGTCTCTTCTCCCAAGAAACAGGCACCAGGACAAGGGGAAATGGCCTCAAGTTGCATCAGGGGCGGTTTAGATTGGATACTAGGAAGAATTTATTCACTGAAAGAGTTGTAAAGCATTGGAACAGGCTGCCCAGCAAAGTGATTGAGGCCCCATCCCTGGAGGTATTTAAAAGATGTACAGATGCAGAGCTTAGGGACATGGTTTAGTGGTGGAATTGACAGTGTTAGGTTAATGGTTGGGCTCAATGATCTTGAAGGTCTCCTCCAACCTAAACGATTCTATGATTCTATTCTACGATTCTATGAACACAAATCCTCTCCTCAGGAGGACTGATGGACTTTTGCTTAAGATCAGAGGTACAAGTTATGGTACTGTTTCAGCTGCACTGGGTCTCATTCTAGGTGCCCAACTGAAACACAAACTTCAAAGATCTTGTGAGTGCATAAAATCACAACTCTGAAACACCCACAGCTCTATGAGAACACCAGGACACCTCCTCCAAGTTATTTTAAAACAGTAACTTGCTACTGTATTTTTCCATTATTCCTTACTGAGTGGCATCTTCTAAGAATACTTCACCAAATCAGACTGGAAACATGGTGTACATTTTTAAGTACAGCTTTAGCCATCAGGGTGACTTTCTTAAGGAAGTGAAAGGTCTTTCTCAACAGTCTAAGTCCAAGACTAGGTATCTTTTTAAAAGATATGTGCAAACCAGAAATTATAGACTTAATGTAGAAATCAAGTGATATTATTCCATCTTCATCACTGTATTATTCATACTGAACGACAACAAAAGCTGCATTTAGCCTTAAAATCTAGAAATCTGCCAGGTCTACCTCTTCCAAAGCTTTAAAACATTCTAAAGAGATTTGACAGATGAAAGAGAAAAGAAATAGGATACTCATTCATGCACGAGGGAACAGGTGCACAAAAGTTTGAGCTAGAGTTCTAGTCCTGGTCTTTCGGCATAACCTCAAGATCACTATTCTTCAGGAAAAAGAAATCCCTTGTGACAGAAGGGATGCTTTTGAGCACCTCAATTAGGAATGTAATCAATACTAATGTCTCCTCGAAGATATTTCCTTTCTGTGATATAACATGCCTAATGTTTCTTAAGCATGTCATCTACCATCTTCCTGAGTTAGGACTTATTTGGGCAGCATTTAAACAGGGTATTGAGAATACCAGCTTCCTGTTTAAATTGTGCTATATGATGATGGGAGGCATCCCTTCTGAATCTGTATGAGCTTAATGTGTGTGAGAGCACAAATGAATGAAGCCATGATTAGGAAAGGAGCAATAGGAAAGGCAATTGTGGTAAATAAAGTTAAAGAAACAGAGAAATATATTTTAACAAACTTTTCCATTTTGGCCACTGTTATGAAAAAGAAACCCTTCTAAAAAAACATATATTAATACACATTTTAAATATACTATCAACAGGACACACCAGCCTTTTTACAGCATTTTTTTTTTTGATTGACCAAGCCAAGATCCCCAAGCTTCTAACCCTGAAAGAACCATAGGTATTTATTCTCTTAAAAGGTTTTTCACTTGGTCTGGGCTTTGAGCTTTGAACTTCTGTCATGGTAGACAGCAGTATTAAGAAAAACAAGAGTGAAGAAGAACAGTCGCTCCTCTCTTCTTATCCTTTCAAGAGCTTACTACTATGGAATTTCTACGGCCTTCTTTGCAAGGCTGTCATTACTAATAGTAATGCAGTGATGTACTAAGCTACTTAAATCTCTTTCAAAACAGGTGGTGGTCCTCCCCACACCCCTTTCATGCTAAGGGGCAACTCCAACCTCTCTTTAATGACAGTATGTGCAACTCTCAACCGACCTTCACAAATCTGTGAAGAGGTATCATACTACAGAAAATTCAATTTCTCTATTGACCTAGGATGTAATCCAGAGCCTGTTAAGAGTCAATGAATTGACCTCCCTTTGAATCAGCGCCTGCATATTCAATTTGCTTTGCCCTAAGTTAAGTGTGCTGCTGTGGAGGAATGTGCTTTGTAAAGCACAAACCCCCTTATTCTGGATATGTTCTCTGAAGATGAAATCCTACAAGAGAATCCGTGTACAGTGTTGTCACAGTGCGCATGCTGGTTAGACCGTAAATATTTGCTTGCAAACCTGAGCAGAAGGTTGAAGCGAAGCTCTGCAGTGCTCCATCCACCTCATCTATGCTGGGAAGAGTTATAAGCCGAGGTAGAAGACCTTCAAGTGACTGGATAAACAACCGTGCACTGTGCTGGTCTGCTTCTTGGTTTTTCAGCAATTTCAGAGAGAGAGCAGCAGTACGTAAAGACCTGTGACCTGGACAATCCCGTGGTGTCTGCTCCTCATCAGCCAGGGAGCAATTGTCAGAGCCTATGTCCGAGACATCTGACCTGCCCGAGTCCTTCTCTGCTGCCATGGAATACTGATCGCATGAATCAAACTCAGTCCTAGAAAGGTCCTGGTCATCTACACTGAAGTTACTTTCACTGTATCTGGATCCATAGGACCGGGTCTTGCAATCAACTGATAAGAAGTTAGTTATATCTGGATAGACTATGGTGTGGCTTCTCTGAACAACATCTGGCTGGTCGATGATTTCTGACTCTGGTTCTCTATAATGAATCTCTTTGCTTTCATGTCCAGCTGGAGATGGCAGTGAGTTTTTTTGGCTTTCTGGATTATCCTCTGGAGTTGTCTGTCCGATATCCCCTTCCAAAGTGGTCTGACCAGTGTCTGTGGTAACACTAATGCTAATATCAGGGCTCTTCTCATTTCCTGATTCCCAGGCAGGATTTTCTGAGGACAGGATGCGCCTCTGCCACCTAAAGTCGGCGTCATTGATCTCCATGGAGTCCCTGCTCGTCTCGGTCCCATCCTTCAACTCTTCTAAGCGCCGGAGCAGCAGCTGGATCTGCTCTTCACTAAGACCCCTTCCTTGGCTCAGCTCATCTAATGCTCCAAGCAGGGCAAAGACGCAGGACACTGAAGCATAACACGCTTCAATACCACCTTTGATGCACGCTTCTGTCATCCCATCCATGATACTACAATTAAAACAGAATTTAAGTGATGCAGCACGTCACTATCATCCAACACAATCCCTCGACAACTAGGAAAAAAAGAAGTGAAATTATCCTGTAACACTACTCCTGAGAAAGACAACTAGTATGTAGAACCAATTATTAGGTCTCCCATGTGGACAAGGCCATTCTGTAAAGGGAATGCCAACCAGGGAAACAGTTACCATGTATTTGTACCAGCATGCACAGCATGTTTTCCCTTATAGACAAGCACTTGCACTAAAAAAAAAAAACAAACAACCCTCAACACCCAACTGAAGCTACATTTTAAGCCAGCTGTGTCCTGAAAATAATCTTATCTACAAGATACGATCTTTATTAGAACTGAGAATCCTTCTTGCTAAATCTGACAATGTTTAAATATCCGACTACCTCCTTTGACTTCATCTTGGAAATGTATCTCTAAATAAGCCCACAATTATTTCATTGCAAGGTTAGGGACACAAACCCAAGAATTTCCAGCTGTAAACCAACATATTTGGGTATTTTGGCAAAGTCCACAAGGTAGTTATCTATGCCTTTACAAAAAGGCCCAGACCGACCACAAACCAGTCAGAACTTTTACCCCTCTTCCATCTTTACAGCTTATTTAACCAGGGAGATACCCTGGCTCATACTTGCGTATGCCACTGAAGATGCAACTGTTTAAGTGTCCTGAGTGGACAGATTTAAGAGAGAAGAGGCTAGAGGAGGAAACAAAGCATACAGCTTAAGAAGATCCAGATGGGACTTCCTTTTAGAAATAGACCTCTTCCTGGATTCCGACTCAGCAGAGCAGGGCCCTGCCAAATCACAAAGCCGCCGAGGACTGCCAAGTATCTGAAAGGAAAGGAAACAGAAGTTACTAGACGATTATCTAAGCATTATTTAAATACAATAAACGAGTCCAAGTTCTATCAAAGCCTGGAACCTGAGGCAGCAGTACTGTAACTTCTCAGAGCAAAGGAAAACAGCACACTGATGTTCTACTTATGAAAGCTACCTTTCCTCTTTTTAAAAGCAGAAAAGCAGAGAAGAGCAGAATATTCAACAAGAATCGCATATAGAACATTCTCCACTGCTTTACATTCTTGAGTATGTTTCAACTGATATTGCACACGAGACAATCTTTATGCCTAAATATAGAGCAAGTATCTTGCTCCACAGAGGTAGACCAAGGTGGGTCTTTCTCTTCAGTCACCCAGTTACAAAATGATAATCATGCAAAGACAGGCAAAGGGATTCTTTCTGACTCAACCTGGGTGACGTCCTGTTACTGCCCGCTAGGAAATACAAGGAGAAGGTTTTACAAACAAGCCCATATTAATAAGCAGAAAGAGGCAACAGATACGTCCTCCAGTAAACAAGATTAGACTGAGCTTTTCCTAAAACTTCAAATGTCATCATGCTGTTGTTTAAAATTAGAGGAAGACAGATGCCAGGGTGACTGCCAGTTCAGACAACAACCCAGTGGGTAGCTGTGTGGCGTTAGGAGAGATCTTCAGACACAGAACAGCCTAGGTACGCACAAGCTAGAACAAAACTCCTCTAAGGGGGACCACAGTTCCTACAAATTGCCAAAGTTGCTTTGTGCTCCACAACATGAAAAGAAAGCGGCACATGTGGAATGGAAGAGCCCATGATTTCAGCTGGCGCTCAAAGAAGTCTCACAGTGCTCCAGTGCTAGTGCTGTCAGAGGCACTGCGCAAGAGGCCAGAATGGACTTGTTTTGATGTGGCCACTTAAGGCAGCTTTGTTGTGGCTATTCTAATACAGCTCAAGGAAACTGTATTTCAAAAACCTGGCACGTAATCAAAGCATATATCCACCTTAATGCCTGGAATACTACAGTGTGAGGATGAATGTCTCCTTCTAGCAAGAGCAGAGAGTGGGGAAAGATGCCAAAGAAGTTGAAACTGGATCACTGTACTGTGACTCACCCAAAAGAGCAGTCATGACTCAGTGCTAAGATCTGCTCCATGCAGTAACACAGCATGAACGCTGACAGAGCTGCCATAGCAGCTTGCGTTATGGAGACAAATATAGCTATTACGACTTCGTAAAACTAAAAATGTTTGGCAGAGTGGCTCTGATGTAACAGCTGTGCTCAGAAAGGGCGATTTCAGCACCCCTAGTGCTAAGGTATGGAATGGACTGGTACGCACGTATCGGCAACTCTTACTGTTAAATAAACATTTTGCTTTACATTCCTGGATTTGCACATGTGATTATCCTACCTCTTTCATAATTTTGATGGCTTCTACTCGGTGCTGAGGTGGTGGGTAAAGCAATATCCGGTGATAGAGAGACTGCAGCACAGGCTTCATGGATTCCACTGACCCCACCAGTCGAACCAGTTCTGCTGCAATATAATATATGGTCCGTGCAACGGGCCCACTAAGGGCAGGTGCTGTGGAGGAACAACCTGAACCCCGGCCGTGATCAGAGATCCCTGAAGAAGGTGAATCAGCCTCAAGGCAGATGCTGCTGTGGGCAGAGGTGATAGTTTTGTCGTGGATTGGATTTCCTAGGATTACTACTAGGGCTGGACACAGTTGCTTCCTGAGAAAAAGAGAAAAGCAGCAGATGGTAACTGGAAAAAAATAATCTCACAGGAACAGATTGAAAATAGCCCACGGTTAAATGAGATTCACACTCTTGTTTTAATGATCAGTCAATAGCAGTGGTTAGATAGAATAACAAATTACGCCAGGCTTTTTTCACCTCCCAAGCATCAGCATGCTAGTACATATGGAAATACTTTCAAGTGCCTTATAAACATGGTACTGATTTTGCAAGTTCATGTTGCTGCACAGTGCTACCCTTTACAGGATAGCATGCCTGCCTCTTTCATTGGCTGCAACCTATCACAAGGTAGAAATTCTAGGTTTGTACGGCCAAGTGTTTCTTCTTCAGTCCAACTTGGGAGCTTTAAAAAACTCTAATCAAACACAATCAATCTATGTTAACTAGAAGGCGTCATGTTCCATCACTGAACTGCACATGCATATATTTTAGTAAGGACCCTTACTTAGTTGTGAGCCTCTGTTGTGCTGGAATTTGAGAACAGAATTAAAGCCCTCTCAGTAACTCAAAGTGTGGATTGTAACTCCTCATATGCCACTCACTGTCCCTCTTTCAACTGTCTTTCTGCCTGAATGCTCAAGTTAAGTGATTCCACACCAGCAGATCACTCTTCTGTGGAACCAGAGCCAAAACCAACTCAGCATTTTGGTCCATTAGCTGTTATTTCAGCTTTGAACTCATGCACTTGACATTTTACTTCAGTCTGCTAGACCTTGATTTAAAAACCGAAGTTCTGCATGAGATTGCAGTCCCAAACCTGATTTTCACCCACATGCCTCAGAGGTTCAAGCTGGCGCCTAGAGGAAGCACCCAATGAGAAGTAATGATTCAGCATAGGGTAACACGTCCTCATAGGTAAGTACATCTTATTTTCTCAAGATTTTTACGCAGTCCAAAACTTTCATTGTTTTTCTTCACATGCGTGCTAAAACAGCTCAGCTTCCTGAAGTCACGGAAAGAAAAACAGCTTTTAATCAGACATCAGATAATGACTTTGAGTCTGCTTATTCCATTTCTTTCTCCAGTCAGGTACACTTCAAAACATATCAATTCACTGCATAAGAAACGTGCCTGCCTTGAAGCAGGCGTAATCACAGGTTGCCACAGCAACATATTCCCCACATGTCGTAGTCTCATCAAAGTGCTTAAGTATCAAACTATGAAGAACACTGTCAGAAGAACACAGAGCTAAATCTTCTTTGTCTGCTCCCTTCTTTATCTTCTGTGGAGAACCAACTACAAAGTGCCAGCCAGAGAGAAAGTTACGTGCATGTAGGCAACAGCTCCTTAAAGCACAAAGACAATTCTCAGTTTGGTTCACAACTTCACTAGATAGCTAATGGACTGCATGTACTGATACTGCTATGATGCTTGCAGTTTAAACTGTTTTATGTCTTCCTAGTGGGGTTTTTTTTTTTTGCCACTTCATCTTAAGCATGTAGCTGGAGGATGCATATTCCTCGGCAGCAATGCAGGTTAAGAAGTTCTGCCCCTGATGGCTTGCCCTCATGACACAGTTACAAACACCAACAGATTTGCAGCGTAAAATGGATCATCAAAATGATGTAAATTTAAAATAAAACAGGAAGTATTTTCTTATTTTCTTTTATCCATGGTCATTTCAGTGACCTTGCTTATAGGATGGCCCACAGTTAGTCACATAAGCATAAACCAAGGGTTGGGTGAAATTCAAGTGCACAAACATCTGAAACAGGTTTGCCATGAAAGAGAGAATTCTGCTCTTACATTAGAGCTCCCAGAGGCCTCAGCACAGGGTCGCTGTGCAACGCTACCAAGTGGTATTAACCTGAAGACCTCTCAGTTCAGCAGCCAGTGATTTTTCTGGGACAGTAAGGGACTTTATAGGTGCCTCTACATGTTACATCCTTAGAATTAGGCCCAGGTCAAACACTCCCATTTCAAAAATTACAGGGTAAAAACTCAAGGAACATATTTGCCATTAACAGTCACATGTAACTTTTCTTAACACAAACGCTCACCAAGATGACTGGATGCACACAAACTGCAAGGAACTGCATATTAGTTACACTCTTGCTTTACTACTATGACTGAATTATCCATATGCTATAAAAAAAAAAAAAAGAAAAGCACTACTGCAAACAAAAAGAGGGAAAAGGATTATTCTAGGTGCTCTGACACGATGGTGTGAAACAATTTAGAGGTAGATATGAACACTAAAGATGTCAATCCCTTCTGGTTAAGCGTATTAAAAAGAGGATTTCTTGATAAAGTGGAAGCACCAGGAAGATCACTTAGGCTCAGCCCTTACAAATGCAGGTCATAAGCAATTCTGGTCACCAGCACACCATCTGACATTAATTTTGCTTATCTTCTTGTATTACTGCATCAGACCCGTAAGAACCTCTACAGCACCATCCTACAGTAAGCAGGATATTTGTGTGTTTAATGACACACACAAATACGTACTATTGCAGAAAGCGTAAGAGATTTTTTGTTCTGGCTAAGTACATTAGACCATTACAGTGATAACTCAACTACAGGGATTTAATGTGCTAGCTGAGCACGAGGTCCTAACCAATCTTATATGCGGCACAGAACAAACTGACAGTAGGTTAATAGCAAGTTCTGCTCGCATCTGGAGATTTATTAAAGGTTTGTTTGCACAGCTGGGGGCGAGAAGATCCTTCTGTACTTACAAACTGAGTATTTGCACTAATCTTCAGACGTACTCACCATATGAGATCAGTGAATCCTTTGTGCTGGTGCATGCTGGGAGAGGAGCTGTTTAACATGGAGAGGATGCACTCCAAGTAAAGAAGCTGAAGTTGCCGATTGTCACTGGCAAAAGAGAAAAGATGATATTCACGTCACGTTAAAACAAAGATTATTTAATTTTCTAAAATAACTACAGTAGTTCACTTGAAAATTATACTGCAGTTTACAGCGGTGATTTATTTTGCTTCTTCCTATGGATTTACAATACCGTGATCACCTTTATCATCCCCTTTATTTTGTACTGATCACATGCATTTTTTAAGTAATAGAAAGAAAACAGGTTTAATTCATCAAATTTCAGAGTGAGGAATAAAAAAAGGTATGTGAAAGAGGAAGAAGAAAACAGAAATAATTATTCAAATTCAGTCTAAAAACTGGAGGAGGAAGGAACCCTTAAGCAGAGGAAAAGGAGACAACCAGAAGATTTTGGACTATTGGATAGCTTCTTCAGGCAATCTGAAGGCGTTTAGGCTGCTGTCTTCTGGGTTTTTTTTCTCTTTTCTTGGTGACAGCCACAATGATCATAAGTCAATGTCTACAGGCAGAAAGTCATGTGATAACATGGCTTTCAGGGCCTTGCCAGTTACTCTGTACAGTTTTCTGGGAAGCTGGAATTGCAGGTAATTTTTTTAAAAGACTTTCAGTGATTTTGAGAGATCCTGTCAGGTAGTTTAGTTTTAATTTCTCGTAACCAGTAATTCAAAGTGATTATCATTTGGTGAACAATACTTCTCAGATGCAAGTTGTTCATGGCTTCACACGTGGGCAAAATGGACTATAAAGAATTAATCTTTCAGCTGGTTTTGCCACTTGCTATTGTTAGATACAAACTTTCGAAGATTTCTTCTTGTCCTGTAACTATGCATACAACTAAAAAAAAAAGTGTTACTCTAGTAGATTCAGAAACATGCTTTTGTTTTCCCAAATGCTGACACTGATTAAATAATGCTAAGTAAGGCACTCTTCCCATTCAAACCTTGCTGTAATTAGAGAAACTCATCAGAGGGAAGTCAATGGAAAAATCGCACACAATGATGTCTGTCTGTGCTGTCTTCAGCTCTGGTAGTTCCTAAGCCATAGTCTTCCTGAAAATGGTAGAGCATATAAAAGGAAGTACTGATGTATGCTTGTTTTGTATTTCTCCCATTTCTCTGACCTCATCACAGGCTACTTTCAGAGATACACAGTCCAACCAAGGAGAAAAATGTTACGCTACTTTTAAAATAGTTTCAGATTAGCTTTTTCACTACCACTCAGGCAATTTGCAACTGGCAGCAGTAGCAAGTTAAATCTTATTTTACTGATATGGAAACAATGTCATCAAGTAAGAACTTGTTTCTCCTTTAAAACTTTGGAAGTATTTCCAGCTTGATATATTTCTATGTTTTTAAATAACTGCTGTATAATGTTTGCGTTGCTTTTGGTTGGTTTGTCACCTCTCTTAACATTTAAAGCTCTTTTTGGCTCATCTCTCTTAAGAGCCCACTAGTCAAGCCATGCTAGAATGCCACAAGAAGTAATTTTTAACTCATGAGTAAGTATTTACTGTTACTGTATTGGCCAACAAGAGACTCTAGTATTTTAGTGCAGTGTAACACCGTATTACTGCCCATAACAACTGCATTTTAAAAGTCAGGCTCACGCATTTCCAAATAGGTAGATTGCATAATATTCCTACATTTAAGGAATGCTTTGGCAATACAAACTATTTCAAACAGATGAATGCTGCCTAAGACATACATATTAATTAATTCTGCATATTAAATATTTATGTTAGGTTTTTCCATGTCTCTTGGAATTGTTGTTCTCTCTACAATGGTTGCTTTCAAGTCAGAAAAGAAAACTTCTCCTTTGACAAGTATTTTGCTGCTATATGGAAGTTACTTCTATATTAGATTCACTGGAAGCTCTTTAAAGCTGAACAGTGTACAGAGAAGGCAAATTAGCTTCTCATCTCACGCAATGATTAAATTAATGCATCATGAATAATACTTCTTCTAATAAACACTTCATTTAAGGACAGTTTTGCTCCATAATCCCAGAACTACAACAGTACAATTACATGTATCAGTGACACTCTCACTTTCCAGCTAATAAATTCCAATTACAAATTGAAATAACTCACTTTATGACAGCCTGGAGCTTCTCACAGAGCACAGTGAGGACAGATACAACGTCATCACAAAGGGACTCAGCTGAAGTACCTCCAAAAATGACAAAAATCAGAGGCATTACATATGTGCAGCTGGATTACAACCTTAATTCACTGCAAAGACTTTCAGAGTCGGTCAGAGCTTCTAAAGAATGAGCAGGACTGCCAAATTTCATAGAGAAGATGCAGCAGGAAAAGTCCTAGACTGGAAAGTGATCTCCACACAATGAAAAAGCAGTAGTATTAAATCCAGAGACAGCATTAACTGCTTACATGCATTTACAGAACATTAGCTGAAACCCAGTTCAGGTAATAAAGTAATTATATAAACAAATAATTTAAGAAAGGACTGGCTCCAGAACTTCTACATGGCAGCCAAAATTTCTGTAACTCTCACTGTAGTTTGTTTCTGCTAACACAGCTTCTGATGTCTGATCAAGTCCTGATCTTAAAAGGCAACACTTGTGCACTTCAAAGATTTTAGCCTCCATCCACATGAGTTCTGCTGCAGAAATCCAGCCAGAAGATCAAAAGTAGGGATTATTTCTACCTATCAGGAAAGGCGGTGGAAATTAATCCAGAACAGGAGTAGAAACACTTCTCTTTAAAATAATCATTTGGCAAGCATGAACACACCTTTGCTAGTGACGCACTTTCAAAAGCTGCCATTATACAAACCGCATCTCTGGCCTGAAATTCAGCGACTCGGTCATTACCAGATTCCACGTCCTACTCTATGCTTCAATTTAGGAAGTAAAGCCACTTACTGCAACTTTCTCCAGAGCACTGAAACTCCTTAATTACAGAAATTAGCACCTGGAAACAATTATTTACTACTCTATTGAGTGGAATACTGTTACCATGGTTACCATGGTCCAATGAAGACAGGATTGAAAATACCAGGAACTAACAGGTCTGTCTCAGTTCTTACCACAGGTAACACCAAGCTATGGAGCAGGTAAGAAATCCTCAAGATTCAATTATTGTGACATCAAACAGTACTGTGCTGGTGAAAGGAAAGTGAAGAATAAAAAAGCTGGATTAGAAGGAGTCACTAAAAAAGTGGTACGAATACCTTGACTCTTGAACTTCTGCAAGGTGTCATGGTTTTCTGTTGTCTGTTGAAGACAGACAAAGGTGGTGTAATCAGTGGAAGCAGTAGAAAAACACTGTAAAAGCAGTACTTTAACAGCAGAGCTCTCTTAACAAATCCATGTCCTCTATCTGTTTTGAGGGTTTTGTTCTTCAGGTTTTTTTATAACTGAAGCACCACATTTTCAAAAATTCCTTAAGATCTGTTATAACAGTCATTCAGATTTAAGAAACTGACATCTCATTGAGCTGAATTAGGATTTTGTAAGTCCTTAAGGGATTTTCTTAACCCAAATATCCTCAATAATAACTAGGCACCTAAGTCACACTGAAAATCACTGAGTGGAAAGCATAGTCTAGGTTTCACAAAGTATTTAGAAACCAAAATCGATTGAGTATTAGAGAGTTTATCACATTGTCATAATTAACATTACAGTGCCAACACAATTAATGGCAGCCAGGAAATTGAAACGACCTCTTACATCACTTGGTTCAGCTTCAGTATAGGATTCCTCCTATCAGTGCACAAAGGGTTCAAGCCAAATTCTCCTCTCAAGCAACAACAACAAACTGCCAGGAACTAAATGCAGCTCTCAAATAATTTCACCTACTCCTCAGTTAAGAACAGAGCTAACACAAATCAACTTTCAGACTCACACTGAAATGTCAAAACTACTGGTTTTGTTTCGGTTGGTTCCCCCCCCAATGTTTTGGCTAGTAAAATGAACCTGCTTAGTACAGACAGAAGGTAAGTTTAAGTAAACCGATTAACTCTGTTCTGCAGTTGCTCATTAGGATAAAAGTAATCTAGTCTAATCATGCAAAATAGAATTGATCATCTTAACCCAAAACAGATGTAAGGAACATAATCTGTACAACTACAGTCCTTAAAATTCCTAACAAATAGAAACTGACTTTTACAAATCGTACTTTTTTGATCATATGACAATATACAAAGCAGCACGAACAGAGGTAAGAAGCCAATGCAATATCACACATGCCCAGAACATTTACAGTTTTGCTGACAATGTGCTGGGATTTCATCCAAACAGCTCTCATGGATTTTAATAATGCAATAAATAGAACTTAGGTTTTTTGCTAACAACCAAGCAAAGAATTTCATAAGCTTAAATTATCTTCTACAAAAAAGGAGAAGAAAAACTTCAATTACACTTTCCTTAGTTAAGAATTTGTTTTGTTTATGTAAATATTTATCATGCAAAAACTTTTGGCAAAAGGATTTCAATGAACCTTAGAAAAACAAGCAAATAAAATAAAGAATGGAAAAGGAAAAGGCCAAGGCAGCCTGACACTAGCACAAAGCCTCTTTCGTTTAATGGAAGAAGAAAAAAAATGTAATCAGCCAAGTAGAGCTGACAATGTGAGAGCTGCGTTTCTGATAGACTGCTCTGAGGCAGGCGCAGAGTCAGAGCCCAGAAAAGCTTTTAAACAGGATTAATTGTGGAAATGTCAAATAAAAGCCATAAGGCACAAGCAGCCAGTATAATACACTGCATTCAGAGAAACAAAAAGGTACGCAGCCATGGACATGGAACCAGTTGTTGATGCCAGAAGGCTCACCATATTTTCTTGCTTTTGTCGTAACTGTAAAGTCAAGTCACTCAACATTTGGCTGAGGGTTGCCCGCACAGCGGTGTTAATGCTCCGCTGGTGACAGCTAGATACATATGTCTCAATGCAAACCTGATGAGGAAACAAGATAGCAGTACATAGATATGAACTGTAACTTACCAGTAACACATTGTAGGAGGATACCAAGGTCTCTCGCATGCAGATAGCCAGCCTTCCTTACTAGTCCATATTGCTTTATTAGTGCATTAAAAGTTATCAGCAATATGGGAAACTAAGCAAGTAGCATCTAGAAGCAGCATGCAACTCACCAGTTAGTCTCACAGCTGCAGGAATGGTAAGGCAAAATTGGCAGAGTCTTCACCTTCTGTCAAACCCAAGTGATTTTGGCACTTGCTTTGCTCTGCAGATTAATTCCCTAAATGCTGCTTCAATTGCTCATTTCTAGATACATATTTGTAACTATCACTCTGCAACTCCGTATCCACAACATAAATACCCTCAAATTCTTTAAGGCTGTTGCTTCTGTTGTATACGTATTTACACTTTTTTCTACAATTATCATATAGAGCAGCACATCTGAAAGCCTTTGAAGGCTTTTCCTAATACAGAAAATACAACAATGTTTTACCATAAACAACATAAATGATTGCCTTTTAATAACTGGCAATCACCCGAGGGCTCCTCAGCTTAGAGATCTCATGGGAGCAAAGGTAGCAATGAAAGAACACTGATGGATCATTCCATTCCCAGCTCCACGTCCAGCTGCTTGCAGTTGTCTGACACTGTGCTGTGACCAGACTTATCATCGACTCTTGCCCCTAGATGATGTTCTACGTGTAGTTGTCAAAGCATAATACAGGTAGGATCCTGGGTACAGCACAATGCAAAATGCAGTTTCTATCCTTCATCAGATTTTCTGTGGGAGGTGCTGGTCTCTGTAAGAGCTGCCATAACTGTAGTAACCACTAACTACTGCACAGTAACCACTAAGATGGTAACAGTCCTGATGGAGCTGCAAATATTTGCAGCAAAACTGTACAATACAATCTTCTCAGACTGTGATCCAAAGTAGCAATATCGGCCCTTTGGCCTACAGTGAGCTTTATCATTAACAATGACCATAAGAAAAAAAAGGAAATGACTGTTCATATACTTTTCAGTCTTTGTGTTTTTATTCTATCATTGTTCATATATCTAGCTAGTGAGAAGAACCATGAACATAGAATAAACTGTGGTAAAAAAAATTCACAAACATCTCATATCAATGATATGCATGAGGAGTATACATAAATGCATCTGATCTACGTTTTTGAATGAGAATGGTATTATTTTTATAGTTCCCTAACAAGGATGAGTTTTTGAGGGGGAGAAATTAAAGTGCTCTGATTACATAGGCTAAATCAGTATTGACATGAGCACATGGACATGACTCTTGATTGTTTCTAACTCCTGTTGAAATGAAACCAAGCCATTCCATTGCCTAAGAAAGGCAGGCTGTGGGCTCGAGGCTACAAAGTTTAAGATGAACATGTTGCTGACACACTTCTGCGTCTGTTAGCGTGGAGAGGAAACCAGTGAAGGTATGTTCCTAAGACCCTTTTGAACTCCTTGCACTGGGCAACCTCACATCTCAGCATTTCAGTAAAGCCACAAGCACAAGAAAATATGACTGAGTTTCTTGGATACAAACTAGATCGTGAGTGATCTAAGACATCACACATGGAAGCTACTAAATTATTGCCCTTGCATTATTTTCCTTATTTCCCAAGTACACTGAGCGATAGCATTCCAGAGCTCTTCAAGTGTATGTATATCGCTCATTATCTCATGCTAGAAACACTACGTAAATGGCAACCTGAGACTGATTATCTCCTTTGACAATACACTAGAACAGTTTACAGTTGTATGCATTTGGAAGATGTAAGGGACCGAATCAACAGCATCTCTCATTCTTGTTGCCCTTTTTCAAGCATCCAAGATCCCCCCAAATAAATAAGGGATTTTATTTAGCTTGAGGTCAATTGATCAGTGATGAAGACGGTCTTGTAAGTTAAAAGTAGGCCTGGACCAACTCTGCCCATCATTCAGCTATCACCTGAACTTGGTGGACAAAAAATCCTAAAGCCTGTTAATCATGTACAGCACTCTGCAGAGGCCAAACCATTCCAGTGCTGCTAAGTTCATTCTCTTGAGCTGTAAGTCTTTTTCTAGAGTACCTGAATTAATTGATGAAATACCATTCTTAGAGGTAGGCTGACTTTCTGGAAAGAGCGTGGTTGATATCCCCTTCTTCTTCTCTCCCCTCCCCATGCCAGCTAATGAGCAACAGTACTGTCCACTTGAGCTCCAATCTTACAGAAGGCCTGTGTTCTAAAATGGCTGGGCAAGATACCTTTTGAAAAGCCATTGATGAAGAAGCACCAGTAAAAATGCGAGAGCTCAGGGCCCCAAGGAGGTGTGCAATGGACATTTTGATCATTTCATGCATTCGGGGACTTCCAGCTCTATGGCATGCAAAACACAACTAAGAGCAAAACACAGAAGGGTTAGACAATGAAACACAACAGAGTCAAACAAAACAAACCTCTGAAAGGTAGATGGGAATAACAAATGCACACATAAAAACAAGCAACAGCATGAACAAAACTTTCTTGAAGGGGTCTAGGCAAGCATGGGAAGGTACACACAGCAAGATATAGTCTGTTTTCAGTACTATTAATATTTAAGCCACAAAATATAGTGCTCTTCACGTTGGATGCTTCCTTAATTTGAAGCTGATAATATTCAGAAAGATTTGGGGTGCCTTTATTTTGTACACATGAATTGAGAACAATCAGGCAGTGCAAAACGGCCTTGTCAAAATCCTCAGAGAGTTCTATCAGTAAGGCAGGCAGCACCTTTCCAATTCTGCAGTGGCTCCACTTTGCTACAGAGGGCAGGCTAGGAAAACTAAGGGACTGACTTGGAAAGAAACACCAAATAGCAGGAGCACTGGAGCATAAAGCTCTTCTCTTCCACCTTTCCCTTGGGGCATGTCAGAATAGCAAATGCTGAACTCAAACAATTCTGTTTCCTACTGCTTATACATTGCAGAATTCAGATACAAAGGCATACTGAGTCCAGCTGTTAAAGTCTTTCTTAAAACCTGGCCAGGAGGAACCCGAGGAAGCACGTATCTGCCTGGGACGTGCTAATTGGAAAGACTGGGGCATTCACTGAGGCAACATTTTCTCAAGCAGTGTGGGGAAAATCGCTGTACCTCCAAACACTCCACGCAGAAACACGCGTGCTCTGTATTACAGCTTGTTCCAGTTCCCTGAAGGAAACGAACATTTTGTTTGCTTTGCTGGTACATCTCATCAGCTTGCATCAGAGCTCCTGTTCACTTTAACAGAAAAAGGACAAACCATCATTGTGCTAATTTGTACCACCATACTAGCAAAGGTTTTTAAGAGCCAGGCTAGCCCTTTGGCAATTAAAGTGCAACTACCAGGAACCGCAGAGTTTAACTCCAATCTATGAAAAAAACCTGCCATTTTTCAGGATGCTTTAAATGAATAACAGCCCTGGTGTTATTCAAATTTACACAAAGAAGAGAAAATACTATTTCTGACACAGCTTAAAGCACACAGAGCATGACTGATTGAACTTTTTCTCCCAGTCTTAGGCAGTGCTCTTGAAGATCGAAATCTGAAAACTTTAGAACCATTAAAAACTTTTCCCAGCAAGTATTTTGGCTAAGCTAGAGCTTTTCACCTTACAGCAAAGATGCACTAAGCTGAATTCATCAGCTTTTGCCTTGTGTGTTAGAAAGTCTGCTGAGAAAAACTGCAGCGGGGAAACTAACTGTATTTTCTTCAGTTTGGGACACTGACATAAAGAAGCTTACAAGGACCTCCAAAAACAGCCACAGCTGATGGTCTCCATAGCACAAGGGAAACCAAAATCTAAGCTGTGCAGGACATCTGGAAAGATTACTGCTTTCTTTAATCCTGTATACGTTATATACACAATCTGTTTATGTTGTATCTCTGCCTTTCAAAGCTCATTTGTCACAAACTGGAGCTGTTTTCTTTGGTTCCCTGCTACCCCTACAACCCCATTCTCAGCTTCCAATAGGACAATGCAGGGTCAATTTCATTCCTAAACTTAGAAAATACTGTAACTTCCAAGTAAAGTGAGATATTTTCACATGGGATATTTTTTTTTTTTATAAAACAACCCACCCAAAATACCAAAACGTGAGAAGGAACACATGTCTAAATGTCTACATACACTTGGAGTGTAGGACATGTACATAACCTTTACATTGCTCCATGGACATTAGCTCTCCCCATACCACGTAAACAATATCATTTTATAATACGTTCTGCACACAACAGCATGCGCTGCGCAGGAGGATTAACTGTTCCTGTGCATCTTCTCTAACCTGAACAAACAGCCCCGTGGCTTGCTACGCACTGTACTAAAAATATCACCCACCTACAAAGGCTCACTTAATAGACCTGCAGGTATATTTTTCTATGACAAAGCTCCTTTACAATTTAATTCAGACTAAAATCAAATGGAATAAAGGGAGAAGAGTGACTAATGGCACCAGGACAACACCATATATCTAGAGGTGTAATAAATCTTTTACTTGGATGTATGAGGAAAAAGATACACGTAAGGCTAACAAGGCACACTGTGGCACTTGTGCTAACGTGGCACATTACGGCCTGCACACCTCTCTTGAGGAAACTTCAATAGTTTCAGACTTGCACCAGGTAAGGAATCAGCACAGTGCTGTGTTATAAAGAACTCAAGGACATTTTTCTAATGCAAAAGGCAAAGGAAGGTACCAGGAGTAGTAAGTGTGCAATGCTGTAACATACAATTGTCAGTCAGTTTCCAAAAGTGCCTTCCCATGCAAGCCCATCAACCCTGCCCAACTTGCAACCATTTCTTCATGCTAGACATCAGGTAATACCAGTCCTTTAAGATGGTAATTGTGATTTGGACTAGTTCAGTTTCAGGGTATGTATGGAAGACACACTCTAGGTAGCGGGGGAAACATTAAGTGACACAAGCAATGGTACAGCAGAGGCACTTACCTCAGCAATCTTCAACACTGAACTCCCATTCAGCTCAAATGTGGAGGTGTATGTTATACAGAGCAAGACCTTGAACCAGAAGAGAGGAAGGAAGGGAAAAAATTAAGTTTCACCTGTTGTTGCCTCCCTTGCCCACCCATGTGCTTTTAGCCACAGCTCCTTCCATTTTTGGAGCAGACATCAGAAGGTTCTTAGCACCGTGTTACTGCGATAAAGAAGACAGCACAATCGAGTTGCTTCCTCCTGATAAACTGCAGCTGTTGGCCCCAGAGGTACAGCTCAATGGATTATTTATCACTGTCTCCTACGCCTGACCACGGAAGGAAAGACAATCCACTGATCAACTCTGGCGTTGGACTTCATAGCCAGAATCCATTCATAATTTAACCACAAGCTTTGCATGATTTATAATCAATCCTTCCACTCATTTCTATTAGTACAACCAAGGAGGAAGGGAAAAATGCATACAGTACAAGTTATTACTTAGGTGACCCAGACACATATGCATTATGTGAAAAAAGCCATTAACAACTACTTGACATGAGGATTTCCCAGCCTAGGATATTTCCAGTAAGTGTATTATAGTCGTTTGATAACAAGCAGCTAAAAAACAATTCATAAGCCCCAATCCATGAGGGAAGGATTGTCCTGTCTTGAACTCAGCAGGAGGAATAAGAACTAAAAGCCCTGGTCCAATATCTTACTTTGAAGAGAAGGAGAGTGGGAACGTGATGCGATCTACCAGGGATAGTGTGGTGGGTGAGCGGGGCAACATGGCAAGAGGTGCTGTGGTGCGACGCCTTTAGTGTTGGGGGTTGTCCTCCCTCCGTTCCCATCTTCCCTTCCAATCCCTCCTGCTCCACAGAACACTAAGAGAAGAACTACTGTTCTCTGCTTCACAAGGAAATTCGGGGCATCAGATAAGTTAGCATTAGTGGCTGTTAACCATTTCTCTTATTTATTACATGCTTTTCAGTGGTACTAGGTTTTTATTTTACACGTAGATTCCGTGGCAGCTACTAATGCACAACACCCAGGGGTGATCTCCTTAGCCTAGAATGTAAAACCATCAACTTTGCCACAGTGTGTCTGATCAGAGCTTGCAAGTTAAACAAAAAATAAGAGGCAAAGGGATGCATGTTTGGAAAGATTACTGCCCTTTGGTTCCTGTTACATATCATTTTTCTGGCCTTTTATTGTGTTGCACAGTTTCCACATTCTGGTGGAACAGCAAAATTCATAATGTAACAATCTGAAGCAGGAAACTAGATCACCTCTCAGGAGCAAGCTGTATCTTCTCTTTAGGTAGTGGTGATCTCTAGAACCATCTCGGAGCTTTCATAAAGAACAACAAAAAACCTGCTGATCTGCAGGTTAAGAGAAGCAGATAATTCTCATGTAGCATAGCTTAGCATGCTGGAACCACTGAACACCCATCATACTATTGAATCTCTGCTTGGGAGAATACTCCTCTATGCAGTTCTTTTGCACCAGGGAGGGGGAAAAATCCATTACTGGAAAGCAGGCATTTAATAACTGGGAATTTGAATTCTCTGTACAGTAGGAGCTCTGAGCATTAGCTACTTGCTCTTACAGGTACAGACAGAAGAGCCTGTCCACAGATGAGTGTTCCATTTTTCTGGAGAAGGACATAAATAACCTTCTTTGCATTTTGAGAGTCAGACTTAAAAGCTTCTATGCACTGAAATGCATTGCACCTTTACAAGTGTTTTTCCCAGCAGAAGAACTATTTCACTACAGGATGTCACACCTTACACCAAGGCTGCTTCTTCGTTTTGTAAATAAAATACCAGTCAGGAGCTCAATCCTATTCTTACAGAAGATGGCTTTACTATAAAAAGTGTTCCAAGAAAATCATTATGTAATGGCAATTTACTGGCATATATAAGTTATCTTGCCTTCATAAACAGAAGCTGAGTAATGTGGATAGATACTTGAGGTAATGAGAACAGAAAGGGCATCCCACTCTTCTGAAGTACAATAGTCCTGGACTAGAATCTCTTTTTTAGATATTTGCCATTTCCCTTTAGAGCCAAGCAAAGCTTCTGAGCCAAGTTTCTTCTTCACAGTTTCCCTTTTCTGTGAAATTGGTAAAACGGATTTTTTTTTGTCTTAAAAGTGTTACACAGCCTACCTCAGTATTACAAGGAGAGATACAAACTACAGAGCACTTGAACTTGCAGGAGAAGGAAATCTGTTTCTAATTACAAATTATTAAGAATGCTGTACTTTGTATTTCTTGATACGAACTCTGCAAATTTCTCTGCAATCCACTGCATTTGCTGGCACATGGTCAAGTGCCAGGGACGAGGAACAGTGATAACCTTTTTCCTGTCCACAGAGCAAATCCTACAGAATAGCTGAAGAGTAAGCAGCCAGTTATAAAAACCCTCAATAATCTCATTTGGTTAATAAGCACATAAGTTATAAGGGCTGTTATTTCGATCTGCTGCACAGCCTGTAACCACAAAATTTAAAACTTCAGAAGTGAACAATTTTGTTTGACACTAAGTAAATTCTAAACTACTGGCCAGCCTTGCAGCCACCTGTTGGGCCTCCCCTTCTCAGCTGTTAACTACCCCGAAATTTTACTGATGTTTGCAGTAGTTGTGACAGCTTAGCAGCCAGCTAAAAAAATATACTCAGTATTTAAGGAAAAACTGTGCTTTGTAGTCTCCATATGCTGCTGTGTAAAACACAGGTGTAGCGCACAGCGCACAAACCCAGAAACAGACAGCTGTCACCTCCCACCGACAAATCTCTTCTTATCGTGCTAAGAGCCAAGATGGACAGCCAAGGCCCAAGACTAATCTTTAATTCAGCGCTTTGCATGTCCCGATTTTCCCTCCTTGTAAAAGCTTGTTTGCTTCATGTGACTTCCTGCTCTCTTGTACCATCTTGGCTTTGTACAGTTTGCTAATACCTAATGCTTTCCATAGACCAAAAACTGGAAGCCATATACTACAATACATGGAAGTACACACCTGTGCAAGCATTCCTATAAGCCCTTGCTCTTTGAAATCTCTCCTCCTTTTTTTTTTTCTTTTTAAGTTTCCTACCTTTATAGAGCTGAACCATGAAAAGTTAGCAATTGTATGTCTAATCTTTTCTGTCACAAGTGCCGATAACCTACTTGTAACAGGTGAATGATTGGTAGAAAAGTCAGATATTGAGCACAGTACCGAGGAGATGATCAAAATCTTGCTATGAAGCCATACGGAATTTCAGTAAAAAGACTGCTAAGTTGTGACTGCTATTCTTTCTATAAAATGAGATCTGGGAACCTACTAGCTAGAGAAATGGCATATGATTGGATGTGATTAAATCACAGAAGCGTAAGAAGCTATCAGCCAGCATATTCTTGGCTTACTTCAGTCACTACAGTGTTCCCTCACAAATCATTTGTGAGATGTGAAACATGGTCTCTGACCAACGCACAAGGCTGCTCTCAGCTATGATTTCCATCAGCACCACTACGGGGCTCATTTACAGTCTTGGCGATGCTCCAGGCACTCAGCTTGCGTGTCTTCCCATTTATGTGGAACAAAATGAAGACAGCAGACTTCTGTTTGAGATTACTGTGTGAAAAAATGGGATTAAAACCAAACAAAACCATAATCATTCAGATCCACTTAAAACACTGAGTCTCCAGACAGTATATCCCATAGGCTGCTTAACTACTCATGATACTAACTCAAGTACCCTGTATTTAAAAAAATTAAAGAAAAGAAAGATAGGTTTTCTTGTGCAATGACATTTTGTTTTCACAGCCACTGGTAGGAGAAGCAGAAACAAAATGAAAAAGCAATTACTAGTAACACCGTCAGTACAAAACAAAACTGAAGATCAGCTTTTACTGTGTGTTATTGTGATGAGATCTTAATTGGTATGGACTCTAAAACACACTTTTTTTTTTTTTTTTTTAAAGAAGGAACTTACATGACTGTAGAGATAGTTTCTAAGTCACACAACCTCCAGGATGTTTTAGTTGGCTTGCATCATCTTGCAAAAGCCCGGATGAGAATGCATTTCAATGAATGGCTTATCCGTAATGAAAGTATTCATTTTAATTACTGTTGAAGCTTTCACTGTCACGCAACAAGAAACACAATTCCTACTTCTTGGAGTCCCGAGGTACCAACTGTAGTAGATGAGTTCATGCATGGACAGTTTTCATAATACGTAGGAAAAAAAACCCCAAACAAACCAAAAAGGTGCTTCTGATAACATAATGAAGTCAATTGACACAAAATGCACAAGATTTGAACTGCAATGTAATTAAACTGACATTACAATGTCATATTTTATGACATGTCATATTTTAAGAGATGTCTCTGAAAGAGAGAGAAAGAGGGAGCATTTTTAGATTGTAAGGCTGCTAAATGTTGCTAGCCAGGTTCCCCAAGCACTTAGCACCTGTTTGTAGTAAAAGGCAATTCTCACATTGAAGAGCTTATGGTGGAGTCATATCAAATAAGGTGTGTAAAAAACCAAGTAGTATCCCCCAAGACTGAGAAACAGGGAAAAAGTACAAAACTTAAAAGCAACTAATCTGTCATCAGCTGAGCATGCTTCAGCACTTCACTGCATTTGAGTGCCAAGTCCAACATCCATGCTTTTTCTATTCCAGCACTAAAAGTCTCATTGGCAAAATCCTCTGAACACTTGTATTGCTCCTAGTTGGGATGCACACAGCCACTTCAGTCCTTAGAGTGCTGAAATTGGCAGCCCCCTCTAATCCCTTTGTGGCATTCATAAAGGAAGCCGTTGCTGACTTACTTTACTTGCAGGCTTGTAAACTTGGATGTAATGTATGCTTGGATGATTCTCAAATCCTAGCCCCCTAGGAGGAAAAACCCAGCCAGCAGACAAGGTAGGATGACCCTTTATCAGGGATAAGTTGACATTTAAAGCAGTCACCAGTGTTTCTGCAAAACAGTTTGGACAGGAGGTGTCCTCCTATGGACCATGCCCATTAGTTACCTAGACTGAAACAGACCTACTGCTGAACTCTCATTATGGTGGTATGAAACCAAGTGAAACTTCTG